GGTTAGTCTTATATGCATGCATACAAATCTTTTGGTTGATCTCTCCCCCTTGTTTCAGCAGCTTTTTAAAAATGGCTGCCACATAGCAGTCACAGTGTTCAACTTCTCTCTTTTTTTTTTTTTTTAATATATTTTATTGATTTTACACAGAGAGGAATTGAGAGGGACAGAGAGTTAGAAACGTCGATGAGAGAGAAACATCGACCAGCTGCCTCTTGCACACCCCCCAACGGGGATGTGCCTGCAACCAAGGTACATGCCCTTGACCAGAATCGAACCCGGGACCTTTCAGTCCACAGGCTGACGCTCTATCCACTGAGCCACACCGGTCCCAGCACAGTGTTCAACTTCTAATGAATGTATGTGTTGAATAAGTGAATTATTGAACAATGGACATACTGATTTGCTCATGATATCTGTGATGAGAAATGGGAACTTTCAGAAGTGATAATGCTGTTGTAATTGTATGAAAGGACTAGAAATCTTTCACTCAATAACTGTTGAGCACTTTTTTCCCCTATTACATCATTCTGTGGGCATATAAGCATGTGATCATGAACCCAGGCAGAGGAAGAAAGAAATACTATATGTCAACACACTCAGTAACCCAGTAGTCACTGGTCAACAGGTGAGTGCCAGGTACAGTGGTTGCTGGCAACCGAGGACTAGTATAGTCACTATTTATCGTTTTAGATAAGGAGATTTTGTCATGACCACAACCACCATTTGGCCCTGTGACCAGTTCTGGGTGCAGATTATGTCAGGCAGCCATTGCTGTGAAACGTCTGGCTCCAGTAGGGAAATTTTCTATTTTGTTTTTAAACTGTCCTGTTTTTCTAAACAAATGAGATTTGATTTTTTTTCCTTCCTGGTGTCCAGTGGATACTAATTTCACAGGACTTTGGAGCTGGAAAAGAACCTAAGATTATTAGCCCACTTTCCTTACTGTACAAGGGAAGAGAATAACCCCCCAGGGAGTAAGTGGTTTGCTTGGGGTCACATAAATAATCAGTGGAAGAGCCTGAGCTTGCCACACAACCATTATAAGAGGGTTTAATGGCCTCACACTCTTAGGGGAAGGTGAGCATGCGTTCACTTCAGGGCTGTTACCATCACCATCCTATGTTTTCTTGATCAAGAAAATTATTGCTGGAAGCTGAAATGGTCTATCCTTATTTTATTTTTATTTTTAAATGTGCTTTATACATGGGAGCTATTTCCCCCACATTTTTAAAAATATATTTTATTGAATTTTTACAGAGAGGAAGGGAGAGGGATAGAGAGCTAGAAATGTTGATGAGAGAGAATCATCGACCAGCTGCATCCTGCATGCCCCCTACTGGGGATGTGCCCACAACCAATGTACATGCCCTTGACTGTAATCGAACCTGGGACCTTTCAGTCTGCAGACCGACACTCTATCCACTGAGCCAAACCAATTTCGGCTGGTCTATCCTGATTAATGCTGCTTGTATATCCTACTTAGTAATACAAATATCTCCTTGTAGCACATTCAGTAGCTAAAACCTTTTGCATGACTTCAGGGCAATGAAAGCCCCACTTTCCATGAAGCCTCCATGAGAACGATTGGTAGATCTGGGCCTCGCCCTCCTCCACATGCCTCCTGTGAGGGGAGGACACAAAAGCGGACTCTGTTCTTACTAAGTCTTTGTGGGCAAGACAGGTGGATTAAGAGCTGCTGGTGGTCTTTAATGATTTATGTGAACGAGCTCTCTGAATTAATATACAGATCCCAGGAGGCATAGCTTCCCTCCTTAAAGCAAAGGACAAACTGTGTATAGGAAGGAAAGGCAACTGTACCTACCATCTTAGTTTTACCTTCCTTGGGGCAGAATGGAGGAAGGATCTTCTGCCAGTTACCTTTGCCATCTCTGTACATCAGCATCTCATGAAGCATTGCTCAGGTATGAACACAGAGCTCTTTTTTAAAATATATTTTTATTGATTTCAGAGTCCATAGGCTCTATCCACTGAACCAAACTGGTTGGGGTGATCATCAAAATTGTTTTTAATTACTCTAGCTTTCATGTTGTGGAAGGAGTTGATTCTAATTCATTTGTCCTTTGCGGCATAGAAATCCTTGACTAAAAATTAATATGTGAGGAGATGTGATGTCCAACTCCCGCTAGCAGCATTTGAGATCCCAGTATAAATGGATGTGTCAAGGGAGGAGTGACACCTAACTCCTCAGCTAAGAACATCCAAGCGCCCAGGCCCCCAACAGTCCTGTTACCTAAAGTACAGCCTGAGGGTATCAGTTCAGAGCAGCGCAGAGACCTGTGTTCCTGAGGCTCTCTGTCCAACTGAGGTGCCAGAAAGAGTCCACGTGGCACTGTCATTAAGGAACATCTTTGAGAATGTTTGAGGTTGATATGCCTCGGTTTGATAACCCATGTCTTAGTCTGGGCTGCTGTAACAAAACTTCATAGTTTTGGTGGCTGGGAAGATCAGGACCAAAGCGCCAGCAGATTGAATGTCTAGTGAGGACCCACTTCCTGGTTCAGAGATGGCTGTCTTCTTGCTGTGTCCTCGCCTGATGGGAGACATGAGTGATCTCTCTGGGGTCTCTTTTACAAGGGCACTAATCCCATCCATGAAGGCTCAACCTTCACGTCCTAATCACCTCCCAAAGGCCCCACCTCCAAATGCCGCCCTTTTGAGGGGTGAACTTTGGAGGGGACACAAACATTTGGTCTGTAATAATACACATGTGAAATTTTGATTCTATGAAACTAGGAGGGAAAGCTAGTGTTGTATCTAAAACGTGATGTAGTGAAAGAAAATGATGAACCCATGTGACTGACCATGGGCCAAGCTCCGATGTGACTAACTGTAAAATGAGGGTCAGTGTACTTACGTGGAGCCATGTGACATCCAAGTGCTGAGTATAAACCATGACTCTCACTCCCTGCCTGTCGACCTGGAAAACTGGCTGCCAACTGGAGGTTGCCATCCAGCCTTCTTCACAAGCATGACAGGTGCTTTTTTAGTGCCATATCTCACCTGTCTTTACCTGGCCTTTGTCTGTGCTTCATCTTGTCCTACTAAAGGCCCACTACTAAAGGCCCAGTACATGAAAATTCATGCACCAGATGGGGTCCCGCAGCCCAGCCTGCCCCTTCTCACAGTTTGGGAGCCCTCAGGGGCAGGAGTGACCCGGCAATCACACCTCTGTTGCTGCCACTGCCAGCAGCGCAAGCCTCAGGTGGTGCTGGGCTGCTGGGAAGCCACCATCCAAGGCTTGCCTGCACCTCAGGCCAGCCCTGGGCAGCTGCAGGGTTGGGGGGATTGGGTACCGCCATCTTGTGATTGTGGGCACCGCCATCTTTGTGGTCATGACAGTCAATTAGCATATTCCCTCCTTATTGGTAGTGGGTGCCGCCATCTTTGTGAGGACGTGATAGTCAATTAACATATTCTCTCTATAATAGGTAAGATTCCCACTCTCCTGCACACTCTGTACTCTTCCCTGCTCCCTAGGTCTCCATGCTCATGTTCCTCCCCTTTGTAGAAAGCCTAAGTGACCACAAAACCCCACAGGCAAGCTTTTCTTATAGCACAGTTTATTACCAGCTCTTGGCTGCATAGTGCCCTTATCAGTGGGTGGAGAAGCATGTGCTTGCCCCAGAAAAAAAAAACAGCCAAATAACCACTCCTTTGTCATGTGGTATTTGTTTGTTCGGCAAACGTTTACCAAGTACCTGCTGCCTGTGTTAGGAAGATGAGTAACACACCACCCGTAGCCCCAGGGAGTTCCCTTCCTGGACCGGGGAGACTGACACAGAGGCCGGCAGTCAGGAAACGTTCTGGTTAGTGTTTTGCTGGAGAGAGGGGAGCATGGAGGACAGTGGGGACACAGAGACAGCTCACTGACTTTAGTGAAAGGACCCAAGTTGCAGCTCTTAAGGGGGAAGTTGGCATTGGCTTGGCAGAAAAGAGAAGGCAAATGGGTACTTGAGATAGAGTGCTGTTGATGTGAGCCTGTCTAGCAAAGGGGGAGGGAATTAATCCAGGCTCAATGAATTCTCGATAGGGTAAAGGAAGCAATTTAAATTGTTTTATTCTTCCAGAACTTACATGTTGTTTTTTTAACTTTGTTTTACTGTCAACTTTGCAATAAGCTGTTGAAATTGCCTGAATCTGTTGAATTGTTACAATGATTGTGAGATGACTTGATCTCAAAATATTTTAAATTTATTTGTGAACATACATTCTAATTAGTGAAAAGAGTAAGATGATCATAGTGAGTTAAGCAATTGTGGTGGTTTCCTATTTAAACCTCATTGTTCATCTTTTTTTCTGTCTCCATCCAAAAAGGAAGGAAAAAAACAAAAGCATTAAATATGTATGCTTAAATTTTTTAAAATATATTTTAAATGACTTCTGTCTTGTCAGTTCTTGCCTAAAACTATAATGTAAACCAATTTAAATTTTTTGTTACTTTTGGACATATTCTTATGTAGTGAGAGTAAGTAAAGTAAGTTGAACATAGATGGGGGAAAGATGAACAAAAATTCTCACTGTTTTTGAAATGGGTCAGTTTTTACATATTATAAAATGTTGCCTTTTAAACTTAGTGGAAATGTTAAATGTGGGGCTTTTTCTTTTTATTATGAAAGACACAAGAAGACCAATAAGAAGATGCATGTAGCTTATAACAGATTTTTGATCCTGGAATCGTTATGAAATGTGGCTTTGGTCTAGAAACCGTGGTCAGCAAACTGCGGCTCATGAGCCACATGCGGCCCTTTGGCCCCTTGAGTGTGGCTCTTCCACAAAATATTATACCATGGCCTGGGCAAGTCTATTTTGAAGAAGTGGCATTAGAAGAAGTTTAAGTTTAAAAAAAATGGCTCTCAACAGAAATTTCAATTGTTGTACTGTTGATATTTGACTCTTGACTAATGAGTTTGCCGACCAATGGTCTAGACAATGAAACATTTCTTATAGAGTAAGAAGACTCTCTCTCTCTCTTTAAGGTTATGAGAAGACCGATGATGTTTCAGAGAAGACTTCCCTGGCAGACCAGGAAGAAATACGCACTATATTCATCAACCAGCCCCAGCTGATGAAGTTCTGCAACAACCACGTCAGGTAGGAACTGCCAAAGGATGATCTGGACCAGCCAGCACACCCACGCCCTGTGGGCCCTCTCCCCGCCAAAATGAAAAGGATTGTAAAGAGCTTGTGGTTACATCAGTTAATACTGAGAGCTTACTAGTGGGCGTCTGAATCGGCTATTTCTCCATCTCCTAGCCAATAAGGAAAGAGCAGAAAGGATAAGCAGCTGCTTGTGGGTAAATCCCTTTGTGTTAAACCTGTTAATAGATTGTTGTTTGGGGTTAACAAATTTTCACATTTCAGAAGAGGTCCTTTGCCATTCTTCAAGGAGAACTCCTTTTGGCTAAATAGTTGTAAAAATTAGTATGGTGGTAAAGAATGGAGGGCTGTGAGAATTATTTCATTGTTATATATTCACTACAGGCCCAGTGCATGAAATTCATGCACGGGGGTGTGTGTGCCTCAGCCCACCTACACCATCTCCAATATGGGACATCCCTCTCACAATCCAGGACTGCTGGCTCCTAACCGTTTCACCTGCCTGCCAGCCTGATCAACCCCTAACCGCTCCCCTGCCAGCCTGATCGATGATTAATTGCTCCTCTGCTGGCCCAATCACCCCAACTGTCCTCCCCTGCTGGCCCAATAACCCCTAACTGCCCTCCCTTGCCAGTCTGGTTGTGCCTAACTGCCTTCCCCTGTTGGCCTGGTCACCCCCAACAGCCTTCCCCTGCTGGCCTGAGACTCCTCCATCTGTCCTTCCCTGCAGGCCTGATTGCTCTCAACTGCTCGCCTCTACCAGCCTAGTCACCCCTAACTGCCCTCCCCTGCAGGTCTGGTCTCTCCCAACCACCCTACCCTGCCGGCCATCTTGTGGCAGCCATCTTGTATCCACATGGGGGCAGCCATTTTGTGTGTTGGAGTGATGTCAGTTTGCATATTACTCTTATTAGATTAGATAGGATTCCAACAGTAATATAAAAGTATCTCTGTTATAATCCCAATTCACTAAGTGGCTCCTGGAACCAAGTGAGCACCCCCAATGCTAGCCCAGGGTTTCTCCATTGGCAACTGGAGACACGCCCATTTAAAGTGAACCTTTACAACTTAAAATTCAAGCAGGAGTACCTTTTCACAGTTTGGGTAGTGTGGCGTGTGTCCCTTTAATCTCCTCTCCATTATTAATAAGAGGAAGATTGAATGTTTCTAACACCTAAACGGTGACTGGCTGGCTATATCGATGTGTTCGGTGCGGAGTCCTAGCCAAAGTCGGAGAGGGTCCCTGAAGAAAATTCAAACTCAGGAAACTCCCCATTTCTCTGAAGCTAGCCAGGGAAGGCATCTCTACTTAAAGTCTCTCTGGTTCCGCTCAAATTGCTGACTTTGTTGTTGTTTTTTTGCAAGATTTTATTTTCAACGAACATATTATACATTTTCTTAACTAAAGTTGCTCTTCTTTGTAAGCTACCCCTGGTAATGTTGAAACAAGGATGGCTGACAAAGGAGAAAGAAAGGTATTAGGCAGGAAATGAAAGTGTCTGTTTATCCAGTTCCTTTCAGTCCTTTTCATTCAGGTTCATGACCATTTGCAATAGTCTCCCAACTTGAAGCAGAGGACAGATGCTTCCTCATCTAATTTCGTAGATGGTGATACTAGGATTTTGTAAACATTGGAGCTAATTGTGGAACAATGAGGTTTTATGCTGCTTTCGTTTTATTTTCCAGCACTGCAAAATACAACATCATCACATTCCTTCCACGATTTCTCTACTCGCAGTTCAGAAGAGCTGCCAATTCATTCTTTCTCTTTATTGCACTGCTTCAGGTAAAGTCCTGTTGTAAAACCTTAGTTCAACATCAGACGTTGCCTGTGACCCTCTTCCGAAGCTTATCCGAACACAGAGAAATCAGCTGGTTTTGAGTGGACATTTCTAGCTTCTGCTATAGCTGTGTTAGAATTTCACTACCTCTTTTAGTCTTTCCATTCATTTTTATCAGCTTATTTTTAAAAGTCCTGTAAATTTGATGTGGCGAGGACTATTCATTTGGGTTCCAAGGGGGATGGGGCATTTTCTTAAAATATCAATTTATTTTAGTAACAATATAACTGAACCTTAGAATATAAGAATTATCACTTTAAATCTTGTTTCTCTTTGTAGTTGAAAAATTGGGGGAGGGGGAAGAAAGTGTTATTTTATTAAAAAATAGCATAAACTCTAATTGTAAAAAGAATTAGAAAACATATCAAAATTTATAACTCATTCCACTACTGAGAGGCAACTATGCTCTTAAAATCTGGGAGTGTATATCCTTCTGGTCTTTTTTGTTCCTTATATAATAACTTTAGTGTACAAAGGGGACCACAGAGTACATGTGTTTCATAACCTGCATTACCAGTATTTTCCCATGAGATTCATTGTGTAGCTAAAATATTATATTTTAATGGTCACATGATATATTAGTATATGGATATACTGTAATGTATATAACCAAGCCCCCTTTGTAGGTGTTAGTCCTACACACAACTGCTTGCCAGGAAGCGAATTAACATGCTCTTCCAACTGCTTCTTAGACTTGAGCAAATCACTTTATCCAGTTTCAGTCTGCTAAGATAGAAAAATTAAGGAAGCATATGTTAAGATGCACTAAGATGTTACCATTTTTAAATGTATTATCAACTTGCTAGTTCTCACTGGATTTCTTTCTCTCTCTTTTCCTTCAAATAGCAAATACCTGATGTATCACCAACTGGTCGCTATACCACACTGGTTCCTCTCTTATTTATTTTAGCTGTGGCAGCTATCAAAGAAATCATAGAAGATATTGTAAGTACTTAATTTTTTTCATAAGTAAATGACTATTTTTACATAACTATTTTAAAATATTATTTCTTCTTTCAGTTATTTCATTCTTGACACAGCTGCTTAAAATGCCCATTCCACTTATAAGTGTGTAGAATATCCTCCCACTTCTACAGTTAATTTCTGTTGATTTTTATATGGTTAACATTTCAAAATGTTGGCTATAGTGTTAACTTATGTTCGTGGTTTATTAATGAAAGAAATTAATTTGAATGAAATAGTTTACTTAGGAAAAAATATATTTGACCATTATTATTAATTATGCTCAATTTTCAACTTGAACATTGTTTCAAGTTAAACAGATCCTCCAAACTATCTAAAAGTAAGTAGTGAAGGGATTCTTGGTTTTTGGGTTTTTGTTTTTTTTAAGTTTATGTACCCTAGTTTTCACCTCATTAAATACCTATGATTCCTTTCTTATTTTAGTTCTAAGTTTCCTTTTCCTCTATCTTGTTGTATTAAAAAAAACGTAACAGCAAATGTGCTATTTTTATTTTTCCGTAGCAGCAGAGAAAAGGGGAAGTCGGTTTCCCCTTTATAAAATACATTCTCTAAAATAAATTCAAGCTTTTCTTTTTCTTCTGTTTTATCTGTTGTTTACCTACTTTAGTTGAGGAAGTCAACCTTTTTTTTTCTATGCCCTTTAAATAAGATGCCTGTCTCAAACGACCTTCTGTCAAGCCTTCGGCAAGTCAGATGGCAAGGAAAGGAAAGGCCAAGACATTCTTTAGAAAGCTCCAATGTAAAGTTACACAAGCACTCATTAATATGATAGCTGCAGGGGATCCGATTGGGATCTCACTGAGAACACATGAGCCATAGCACCACTAGACCATTAGACATGGGTCAGCCAACTGTTTACCAGGGAGGGGGAATCTTTTTTTCTCCCAAGGGCCATTTGGATATTTATAACATCATTCGCAGGCCATGCAAAATTATCAGCTTAAAAATTAGCCTGCTATATATGGTCAAACGTGTAATTCTCCCTGAATGCCTCTGCAGGGCCAGACCAAATGATTTCGTGGGTCTTATACAGCCCACGGGCCGGGTATTCCCTACCCCTGGTTTAGATCATCAGTGTCAAAAACATCCAAGTGTGTAAGAGTGCAAACAGAGGTTGTGTGTGTAAAACACCAGTGTCCTCTTGATTGCAAATGACATACTTGGTGGGGACCACTAGCTGAAAAGTACAGGGGCCCTCTTCTCACGCATATTGTTCCACACGGACTTACCACCTTTCAAATGAAGGTTGGATTTGGCACTCTATACGGATTCATCTTTATTACAGATGAATAAAGATGCCTTTTGTACTCCCTTTTCTTTGCCTTTTGTACTTTGCCTTTTGTACTCCCTTTTCTTTGTTTGTTTAACCTAGGTTTCATTGAGCCTCTCTTACTTACTAGCATTATGCTATTGTTTTAGCAAAAGGTTTTTTCATTTAATTCCTTCACTGACTTTTGAAAGTTGGATATTAACCCCATTTTAAAGGTAAGGAAACTGAGGCTTGGAGAGGCCAAGTGTCTTGTCTAAGAAATTGATGGAATTTCTATCCCATCCATTGCTCTTTTTTATTGTTGTGGCGAGTCACCAATGATAATATGAATAACTGAACTTCTGGGATCCATGTTCGTGCTTTATGTCCTTTACATTTATTAAATCTTATATTAACCCTTTCAAGGATGAATGGTATTGTCCGTATTTTACAGAGGAGGGTGAGGAGGCACAGAGTAGTAAGGTAACCTACCCAAGGCCTTTCAGCTGTTTATGTGGGGCTGTGAGAAGTCAAATGAGGCTCCTGCCGTATAATCATTGCTCTAAACTGCTGCTTCTACCCTTACCTTTTCTTTTCCTTAGCAAAGCTATAAGTTCTCTACCCACGTTTTTAGTACCCCTCTTTATGAAAATACATGGTAAATATGCATATAAGGACAACGAATGGACACAAAACTCTGGAGAGGGAGGGCATGTATGGGGAGGCAATGGTATATGTACACAGATAATAATTTAATAAAAAAATTAAAAAAGAAAATACATGGTAAATAGAATGGTATCCAAGAAGTTTTTTGTTTGTTTGTTTGTTTTAACAAAATGCTTATTAGAACACAGCTAATTGGGCAGTTTCTGAAGGATGTTATATTAGTACTAGAGGCCCGATGCTTGAAGGTTTTGCGCAAAAATGGGCCTTCGCTTGGCTGCTGGCATCACATTCACTCCAGCCAGAGCCGCCTTTTCCCTCTGTCCTGGAGCCACCTTTCCGCCTTCCTATGCTGCTCAGAGGCCTGGAGCAGCTGGGGCAGTGCAGAACACTACTCTGTGCCTGATTGTGCAAATTAACCTGCCATCTTTGTTGGATTAATTTGCATACTCACTCCTGATTGGCTTGTGAGGGTCATGAAGGTATGGTCAATTTGCGTCTTACTCATGGGGTAGATCATGGGGTAATAATAGTATCATTTGAAGTAGCTTTCTAATAAGTATTAAGGAATGGAGTAAAAAATGGACTGTAAGAATGATTTAACAAGACTGCTGGAGGGAGATATCAAGGAGGCAACTGGATATAACTGTCTGTAACTCAGATGAGAGTTTTGGCTGGTATATATTTACATGTTGCTTATTGTTGGAATTGCAGGTATGAATGAACTAAGAGAGTGTAGAGTGAGAAGGAGAGAGGGTAAGGGAGTGAGCCTTAAGGAATTCTATCGCTGAATTACAAGCCAAGAGACAAAGGGGGCCGAGGTGCAGAAGACCTGGACGATGATGCAACAAGAAATGTCTGGGTTGGAAAAATTCCCCGAAGTAGGATTAACCAATATTGCATCCTTAAGTATCCTGAAGCTCATGGAGCTATTTACCCAGTCCAGTTTATTGGTGTGCTGTCAACCAAATATTGAAAATATTAAGTAATTCACGAAGTCTTGCTGGCATTAGTGAATTCTGATTACAGGACAGTGAATGTATTTGAATTCAGAGAATAACTATATAAATTTTTCTAAACTATTACTTTTAGAATAATGATCTCTTAAGATACAAAGATGCTTTCTTTTTGTAGTCATCAGATTAGAATCTGCCTGTCTGGGTGGGTCCTTATGTATATTCATCACAATTATGTCCTGACAAGTAGCCTAATTTATTCTGTGCTGGAAAGGTTGAAGAAAGGGATGCTCTGTAAGGAATTCTGTGTATGGAAAGTAATGTTCAGGAACTCCTCAGGTTTCACTAAGATTAAATTTCCTGTAGAAGTGGAATGTTTTGTTAATTACCATTTATTTGTCTCCTTCAGTTGAAAGTCTATTATATATTAGAGGTACGCATTGTTTTGGAAGTATTTGCACCTTCTCTGAGTATCTGCTTTTACCTTGGATCATTATTTCAGTCTAAAAGTTATTTTGGGTTACTGTTCATTTTCTTAAAATCTTTATTAACAAACAAAAATGAGTAAGCATGCTCTACTGAATAATATGCTCTATCAAAGCTACAAATTTAACAGAACTTTAAAAATTTCACTTAAGAATATTTTCTGGCAAATGGTGTGCTTGCTTTTGGAAGCAATAACTTGCCTATTAAAAGTGTACATTATTACACTTTTACTTATGATAGTTTTATTCTGAGAAAGGATTGTCCCTGCCATATGGGCGTGGCAAGGATTATTTTCAATAAGCCTTCCACAGAAGCATTCTGAATGCACCACTTGCATTTTGAGCAGTTCACTGGCTGGTTATTAGGATGAAGCAAGTTCTCACTGCCAACTATTATGCCATTCCTCCTGAGGGTTGCTATGTCTCCAGACTTTTCTCTGGGAAAGTGTTTTCCTATTGTACCCTGTGTCCCTAAAAACCATCTTTCTTCTCAATGGAAAGCTTAGGAACTCATTTGTTTTGCATATGTTCCATCCTATTTATAGTCAGGTATATGCAGCTAAATCTGAACATGGGTTATATATGCTAGAACCTTTGAACACAGAATCATTTACACTCAACACTTTTTCCAACATCAGCAGAAGCTGATGTGTTACTCACAATGGTATACATTTAGACAGAAGCTATGAAAAACCTCTTGTTTCGATTGGTCCTTCAAATCCTCACTTTTCTCGGCCTGCCGTTTCTTTTCCTAACTGCTGTAAAGGCCTTGGCTTCTGTAACTCTTCAAACTCACCCGCCTAGACATAGACTAAATCGCCTGTTTATTTTTGTCCTAGTGCTTTTAGGAGGAAGGAGAACCGGATTATGCATTCAGTGGCTTCTGATTTGGGGGGAGAGTGGCTTTTGGGGAGCAGTAGATGGAAGAGGCTTTGTGCAAGTGGTAGATGCACCTTGTATCTAGTCATTGACAGACATCAGCACTTTATTAAATTATAGAGGATGTATCATCTTAATTAGATAATGGATTTTATAAGTTGAAAATATTTCAGTGCCATTATAAAATGGTAGTTATTATAGATAATTCTCTTGGGCAATCTTTTGTAAGTGAGTTATTGAAACAAATGACTAAGTCAGCCTTTCAGCGCAAAATCTTCTAGTCCCATGGTCGGCAAACTGCAGCTCATGAGCCACATGCGGCTCTTTGGCCCCTTGAGTGTGGCTCTTCCACAAAATACCACAGCCTGGGTGAGTCTATTTTGAAGAAGTGACGTTAGAAGAAGTTTAAGTTTAAAAAATTTGGCTCTCAAAAGAAATTTCAATCATTGTATTGTTGATATTTGGCTCTGTTGACTAATGAGTTTGCCGACCACTGTTCTATAATAGTACATTAAAATTTAAAACTTACCTGCATGCTGATGTCAGACCTTCGGAGGACCCATACACCTGGAAAAGGACTGTGGATTGCTTTCAGTTTTAAAATCCCTGATTACCCTCTGATTCTCCCATCATCACACTTAATATGGGTATCAAAATAAGTTAAATCTCTTGTTGTAGGTGCTATTTTGTTTTACTTGTCTTGCTCACTTTTTCACAGTTTTTTATTTTTGCTTTTAAACTTTAGAAACGACATAAAGCTGATAATGCTGTGAACAAGAAACAGACACAAGGTAGGAATTTTACAATTTATTTCTTGTATCTGTCCAACACACTCATACTAATATAAATAATCACTTCAGTTAAATGTAACTCAATTGAAAACACTGTATATGTTTTTGTTCCAAGGTAAATTCTTGCTGTGTAGCATTTATTAGCATGACATTTAAATTTTCAATAAATGATTTACAGTGGTAATACTTTTGAAAGATAACATCTTTAATATATTTACTTACTTCATAACAATGCTTGTAAGTATAGTTCATACAATGTGCAATGGTTTTGACAGTATTAAATGCTGCAAAATATATTTTGTTTGTGACAAATTGATATTATTCTAGCAAAGATACTATCTAAGCTAATAATAGAGTAATATGCAAATTAACCATCATTTTGTTGGGTTAATTTGCATACTCGCTCTAATTGGTTGGTGGGCGTGGTTGGTGGATGTGGCTTGTGTAGCAGAGTGATGGTTTATTTGCTCACTTGCTTATCATTCTTGGTTTATCAGATCACCCTGGATTAACACAACCAGCTTATATAGCTAAAAATGAAGAATAAGCAAGTGAGCCCTGGTTGGGTGGCTCAGTCTGTTGGAGGGCCTTCCTGTACCCCAAAATGTTGTAGGTTCAGTCCCTGGTTGGGACATGTACAGGAGACAACTGATCAATGTTTTTCTCTCTCTCCGTCTCTCTCTCTCTCTCTCTCTCTCTTTCTCTCTCTCTCTCTCTTCATCTCTCTAAAATCAATTAAAAAATATCCTTGGGTTAAAATTTAGAAAAAAAGGAATAAGTAAGTGAGAGGAAAGGCTACTAACATAAGTATATAAAACTCATGTCAAGAATAAAATATTTGGAATATTTGGGCTTAACAGCTATAAATACCATTGTGTTGGGTTAATTCGCATACTCATTTTATATAATTGATTTATTACCAGAATACTTGATAATCCTATATATAAGACACTATGGGATACTTGATACTTAAAATTGTTTTCTCAGAAATATTTCCTTTTTTTTCTCCCTGCTTTGTCTAATTTAAGTACTAATTATCTTTTATATTTTGAAGTTGATAGGAGATAAGAGAAATGCTTGTAGAGGACACTGTTTGCTCTCATATAACTCAGATTGCTTAATACAAAAGCCATCTGTTGTCATTAGACCAGAATGAAATTGATTTGCTTTGCCGAATTGAGGCAGTCGTGGGTGTAGGAGTGGGAAGGGAGTATTTTTTGATAGATAATTAATTTTTGACAAATATTGGAAGTATTGAGCTTAAAATTTCAATTTCTAAATGTTTACCAAGCCCATGCACTGTGTAAGCAGATACCTTTCCTTCAGATTCCAATCCTTCTCTGTTCTTAGAGAAATGAATATTTTCTCTCCTTATTTTGCATTGAGGCACTAGAGTGACTTTTTTCTGTCCTTCCCTAACAACTTCAGAAATATAAACTCATAATTTGATTTCCAACATTTCTAATCGTTTAACTCGGTAGCCTAGTACATGTTTGATGCTTCATTTTTACCAGTCAGTGCACTCAGTCGGAGAGCATATTTTGTACTCTACTCAGAACTTTATAAACTTTATGTTTTAGCCTATTATCAATGCTTTTGAAAAGAAGCCATTTCTTCTCCTGGAGTTACAGAGTTGGTTAGGCACATGGTTCATTGAGCTAGCAAATTCAAAATTTTATGTTGTTCTCTGAGGACATAGCTGTTGAGGGAGGGCAGAGAGCACGGATGCTCAGAAGTTTAAGAATGAGTGCATCTTGAGTTGTGTGGTCCGCTCCTCCTAATGACTTGTGACCACCTGTCTTTGCGCCTGTCCTTTGGTTGTGTGCTGTTGTAGCTGCACCGGGTGGCAGCACTGCAAAAGGCAAGTCTACCTTCCTATTGATCTACGTGTTTGCCACGAAAGGGCATGTCCTGAGCAGGTGGTATATGTGTTTGCGTAGCAAATGAACCAGTGGATGAACCATTCTCCGTACAGATGCATGAGAAGGAAGAAACTAGGCATGAAAGGAGCTTTCTTGAAAATTCACTATCTGAGGTATAAGCATGATGTTTTTCCATAACACCGTTTCTCAGGCACTGATAAAATACTAACGTGGCAGAAGTTCTAGTCACCTCCTCACCCTCTCTGTCGAAGTCATTACATCGTCATTTCACCCTGCTTCACCTCCCGTGAACACCTTATTGTGTCCACTCATCAGTTCTGTTATCCAGAGACCAGAGCACTGCCATATTCAGAATGCCCCAGATCTCCTTGCATCTAAACCTACCTTCATTTTCTCTGACTTCTTCCCTTGATATTTGGACTCATGGCATCTGACAGACCCTCTTTGGTTTATCTGACACACACTGGAGGCAGTCTCTCGTGGTTTTCCCTGAACTGGGTTGTTCTGCCAAATTTTGCTCTGCAGGAATTTGTAAATAATAAATTTCTAATGATTAATGTGGCATGTAAATTGAAGCCAATCCCCATATGAATTTATTGTGGTTGAGCTCATTCTCTTTTTAAATTGTAAAAATGTGCTTCTGGTTTTTTGTTTTGTTTTGTTTTGTTTTGTTTTTATGAAATGCTGCTCTGGCTAACATGCCAGTATTTCAGGTAGAATGACAGTTTCACATGCACTGACAATAAGGAAGCCTGGGAAAGGATGGGGTTCAGGTACAGGAGAAGAAAGATATTTAGAAGAATTAAAAATGCCTCCTGGTGAATTTTTGGAGAGTTTGTTTAAGTCTGTGAAATATGCCATTGGCACTTTAATGGGAAGTGCATTGAATCTATAGATTACTTTGGATAGAATGGACATTTTAATGATGTTGATTCTACCAATCTATGAAAATGGTATGTTCTTCCATTGGCTTATGTCTTTTTCTATCTCTTTTTTCAGTTTATTCCTAGGTATCTTCCTTTTTTGGTGCAATGGTAAATGGGATTGTTTTTCAAATCTCTCTTTCCATAAGTTCACTATTGGTGTATAAAAATGCCATAGATTTCTTGGCATTAATTTTGTATCCTGCTATATTTCTGAATTCATTTATTAAGTCTAATCATTTTTTGATGGAGACATTAGGGTTTTCTATGTACAGTATCGTGTCATCTGCAAATAATGACAGTTTTATGTCTTCTTTTCCAATTTGAATGCCTTTTATTTCTTCTTGTCTAATTGCTATGGCTAGCACTTCCAGTACTATATTGAACAGGAGTGGTGAAAGTGGGCATCCCTGTCTCATTCCTTTTCTTAGGGGAAATGGCTTTAATTTTTGCCCATTGAGTATGAGGTTGGCTGTGGGTTTAACATATATGACTTTTGTTATGTTGAGGTATGATCCCTTTGTTCTCATTTTGCTGAGGGTTTGTATTAAGAACGGGTGATGGATTTTGTCAAATGCAGACCCCAAATAGCTGAAGCAATCCTGAGAAAGAAGCACAATGTAGGGAGGATCTCAATACCAGATATCAAATTGTATTACAAAGCCACTGTTCTCAAAACTGCTTGGTATAATGGCACAGGAACAGACATATAGACCAATGGAACAGAACAGAGAACCTGGAAATTGACCCAAATCACTGTGCTCAATTAATATCTGACAAAGAAGGCAAGAACATTCATGGAATCAAGACAGCCTTTTCAATGAATGGTGTTGGGAAAATTGGGCAGATTCAAGAAAAAAAAAATGAAACTAGACCACCAACTTACGCTATACACAAATTAAACTCAAAATGAATAAAAAACTTAAACATAAGATAGGAAAACTAGTAAAATTATTAGAGGAACTCACAGGCAGCAAATCTCAGACATATGCTGAAGCAATATCTTCACCGATACAGCTCCTAAGGCAATGGAAACTAAAGAGAAAATAAACAAATGAGACTACATCAAAATAAAAAGCTTCTGTACAGCCGAGGCCGGTTTGGTTCAGTGGTAGAGCCTTGGTCTGCGGACTGAAAGGTCCCAGGTTCAATTCCGGTCAAGGGCATGTACCTTGGTTGCAGGTACATCCCCACAAGGGGGTGTGCAGGAGGCAGCTGGTCAATGTTTCCCTCTCATCAACGTTTCTAGCTCTCTATCTCTCTCCCTTCCTCTCTGTAAAATATCAATAAAATATATTAAAAAAAAAAAGCTTCTCTACAGCAAAAGAAACCATCCACAAAACAACAAGAAAGCCCACTGCATGGGAAAACATATTTGTCAATGTTATATCCGATAAGGGTTTAATACCCACCATTTACAGGGAACTCATACAACTTAACAAAAAGAAGATAACCCAATCAAAAATGGGCAATGGACCTTAATAGACACTTTTCAAAAGAAGACAGAAGGATGGCCAAGAGACATATGAAAACCTGCTCAAAGTCACTAATCATCCGAGAGATATAAATTAAAACGGCAATGTAGTACCATCTCACACCTGTCAGAATGGCTATCATCAACAAATGACTAAGTGCTGGCGAGGATGTAGAGAAAAAGTGCACTGTTGGTGGGAATGTAGACTGGGTGCAGCCACTGTGGAGAACAGTATGGAGTTTCCTCAAAAAACTAAAAATGGAACTCCCATTTGACCCAGCGATCCCACTTCTAGGAATATATCCCAAGAAACTAGAAACACCAATCAGAAAGGATATATGTACCCCTATGTTCATAGCAGCACAATTTACCATAGCTAAGATTTGGAAACAGTCTAAGTGCCTATCAGCAGATGAGTGGATTTAAAAAATGGTACATCTACACAGTGGAATATTATGCTGTGGTAAAAAAGGAAGAAATTTTTACCATTTGCAACAGCAAAATATTATGCTAAGCAAAATAAGCCAGTCAGAGAAAGATAAATATCACTCTTTTGTGCAATATAATGAGCAACATAAACTGATGAACAAAAACAGATCCAGAGACAAAGAAGCATCAATCAGACTGTCAAACTTTAGAGGGAGGGTAGGGGAGGGTTGGAGGAAGGGGAAGAGGTCAACCAAAGGACTTGTATGCATGCAAATAAGCCCAACCAATGGA